AATTTATTAATGTGGTGTCCTGTATTTTTACTGTTGACTAGATGATATGAAATCAGAGTGGAATAACTTGAAGTCTAACCAACCATATTCCATGTTAAGACATATATTCAATTAGCAGTATCCTGTCTATTCTACAAACAACCTGAATCTGATTGTTGTTATTATTATTAATTACCATTATTATTACTTTTTCATTCAGAGTTTACTAACAGACCAAACAAAGTATGATGTCTTGAGTTATTCTGTGATTAGGATTCTTGGGCTCAAAACCATTGGCAAAGGATGATTGTGGTGGGAGGAATGGTCTTATGAAGTGCCAACTCCTGAGTACTTGCAGGACCAGGCTGGCAAGATGGGGGCCAAAGAGAGGAGTGTGGGAGGGTACTTTGCCAAAGGCAGTTGGGTGATTGGTACATCACTAAAATTCCTCAGCAAGTTGCCTGTGGTTCTCTGGCTTGGGGGTCAGCTGCCAATGCCAGAAGTGAGATGTCAGAGCTAGTTTGTAAGAATAAATGTTCAAAATATTTTGATTTTTGGCCAGCTCAGTCTCTTCTAATCTAGTTTCTATATACTGTGACCGCCCCCCCCCACACGGCACCCCAATTCAGTGAAGTGTTTTTCCTCTTAGTTTTAGTTTTACTTCTGGAAAGTGAAGTTAAAACAGAAAGAAAATAGAAAGCATCAAGGAGAAAAAAAACAAACAAAAAACAAAACCAGCCTTGCTTCTGCTGGAGGGAGGGTTGATTAGAGCCTCAGATCCCTTCTTCCTGGCTTCTTCATGTTTATTGCACACATAAATCAGAACTTTTGAAATGCAACCCTAGAAGTGATTGCTGCCTTTGCATTTTTTTCTTTGCTGAAGAAGTGAACATCTCCTCTAACTGATTGTGGAAATACAATACTTGGAAAAAAATTCCTTTTCTTCATATACAGTTGGATATAGAAAGTTACTGTTAGAACATTTTTCACACTTAGCATGAGCAGTATATGTGATTGTGTATAGTTATGTAATCAGAAGAAACTGAGAGGATCGATTGCCGGATTCTTTTGACTTTAGAAGTGGCAGACTCTTGGAATGCAGCGTTTCGAACATTCAGCTGGAATGGGGGAGCTAAGTTAGGAAAAACAAGTAGATATGAATGTGTTTATATCTCAGACTGGCAAAGTGGGTCAGGCCACTTGCATTCCCAAGGGGATTATGAAAGTTCATCTTAGAGAACCTGAGTGATTACTTGGACTAAAACCGAGGAATTGCAACAGAACACTCATGTCAGGTTCTCAGGGTGCATTCCTGTGACAAATAAGTTTAGTTGGAGGGGAGAACAACCAGTAGGAGTTTTTCACCTGCCAGGGAAAGAGCTATTTAAATCTTATCTAAGACCTAACATCCTGAAGGTGTGTTTCATGGCACCGGAGCACTGGGAAGATAAAAAGGGGCATTTTCTGAACTGACCATTTCAATGCCCCTCTCCTGCTCCTGCCCCAACCATGTAAACTCTGTGTTAGCAAGAGGCTTTGACTCTGCTGAATACTAATTTCTAGTATGTGACTAGCTCCTAAGACATACACAGTAAATTACATATTTTAAATTGAATAGATATTTTAAAATTAAATGAATAAATTTACACTTGGGGTAACATGGAAGTCATTTATAGAGTTAGAATTTAGATGCCTATTGGCCTTCAAGCTGAATATATCAAGATTAATCTTAGTAGCTAAAAATAGAAAAGCATTGCCCTTGGGTCCAAAGATTTATTATATTGTGTCTCCATATAGGGAGACAGAATTTGTCAGTGTCTTATATAAAACAATATAGTTGGTCATAACACAACACAAATTGACAGTGGGCTGTGCCTGGAATAAAAGTTCCATCTGATAGTAGGCTGCACTGCTAAAGATATATCTAGACTAGGAAATGAGATCATATTACACTTGTCTTATGTTAATCAGGTGGTACATGAACTTCTATTCTGGGTAACTAAACTAAAGCAGATGTAACCAGCTGAGTAGGCTAGCCAGGGCAACAAGAAAATGGGAAGTCAAGAGTAATTGTGGTGTTGAATATATTTGTTCAGGAGACCCCAATAAAATTTAGTAAGGTTTAAAATACCTGAGTGCCTATTCTTTGGAAGAAATATTTGTTTATTCATTAATGTTTATTTAAATATTTGCTTATTTTAAATATTTACTTAAATATTTAAATATTTTTAAATATTTATTTGTTTTCTGGTATGGACGTGGGTGTGTTTACCAGTCAGCCACACAAGGAATGCACAAAGGTTCCAGTGCCCAGTTGAACCTGAGGATCTATAACATGTGTAGAGAGAAGCTATTAAGGCAGACAGAGCTGGCCTGAAGGGTAGGATGCTTCGCTGAGCAAGCCTTGATATTGGGATTCTTACTCTAGGCACCACACTACCGGTATATAATTTTAAGAGTATTTTTGTTTACATGGTCTGCTCTGTTCTACTTTAATAGTATAACTCAGAGCACTTGGAATTTATACGTAGGAATGATTATTTCATTGACCAAGTGCTTACCCTACAGCAGCTCTGCATTCTGAAGTATTTTCTAGAAGTCAAGATAGAAGAATGCACAACCTTCACCCTCTTTCCTCAGAAGCCTTCTGGTATTGTGTGTACAGTATCTTTGCCCTGAATATCAATGTTTTATCTAGAGGCCTTGTTCTCAGAGTTTGCTGTGTGATGTGTATGCTATTGGTTTTCTAAAGAGGCTGGCATTTCCTTGGAGGTGAGAATAAATCCTCAGTATCAGTTAACGCGGTGATAAAGTACAATGGTTGGCATAATCATCGATACTCAGTAGAAGCAGGTCAACCTGCATAGGTCACAGTCCTACAAATGTACTGAGAAACAGAACACAGCCTGTGGAAGTATAGTGGAGGAATGGTGGCTTATAAACAAAAGGAATCCTTAAAGCTTCATGAGCGGCACCCTGAGGAGTGTACGAGTGAAGTAGGAGGGGAGGAGCTGAAAAGGCCAGACTGCCTTCATGGATGATGGAATATTAAGCACAGAACCTTAGGTAAGTCATGACCAGACTGTGAGTCAGGGCAGATAGGCATTGTGGGTCTTCCCTAGAAGGTCTTTTTTGCCTCAGAAACCACTTAGCCAAATATAACATTCAGTAGCAAGTAGCACAAAGAGCAGGTTGCAGAAATGTTAGAGTATCCAGGGTTGAGGTACATAGGAAAAGGAGGAGACAGGGTTAGCTAATCTTAGTAGGAGCAGTCTCTATAGGGGTCTTAGACAGTAAATGTTTTCAGGGGCTGCTACAGTGGGCATTTTCTTCACATACTGTCAATATTCACTCTGGAACCCCCAAGGAAGGCTTTTCCATCCCTCTGAGCCTTACCTGGAAAGGTTTTGTCACCCCCTTGGGACTGAAGTTTGGTGGGGGAGGTGCTTGATGTGGCGACACCCATGTTAACAGCACACACTCACTCAGGGCTTCCAGCCCCTCCACATACTCCACCTCTTAAAGGTCACATTGTCTCTTAGCACTGGCACTGACTCTAAGGCCCTCCCACACACAAACCCTGGGAGGAAAACCACACCTAAGCCATAGTACACAGTACGTGAGTTCAACAAATGTTTTCTGCGTGGTTATTGATGTGTCTAAAGTGAAGAGACCATGCTGTGAAGATGTCTATGTGAGTCTGAGGGCAGACAGCTTTAGGTTGGAGAAGAAAGAAGAGACAGAAGGTTCTGTTTGTAGCATGATGAATTTAATGAATTAGTGGAAGACTATACTGAATAACAGCTAAAGGTTGAGATTCAGGAGGCAAGACAAAGTTTTTAGTCTGATAAAACTAACAGAGGTGGTAGAGAATGCTCAGAGTGTTTATAATGAAAACTGGGTGGATCAAGATAGCAGTGGAATAAAAATCTCCAGAAAAACATTTGGCTGGCTGGGCAAATACTACCCTCCTTTCATGTGGGCATAGGAAAAGAAAAGAGTTGTCATAGCACTTGGTTCTAGTATAATATAAGAAAACATACAATGAAGTTGAGATAGAAGTCACAAATTTTCTTTATCATCTTCCTTCCAACTCAAAGAAACACAGCACAGAGAAGGATGCCTCCCAACCTGGGGAAGGGAAGGAGTTAAATCCAGGATTTAGATGAGGTCAGTACCAGGTTTACTGTGGGGGAATCTCAATGCAGGCAGAGCCTGTGGCATCTATTACTAGGTAAGAGCATGTACATGAAGCCTGTGTTAGCATGGTAATCAAAGGACTTCTTTCTTAATTTCTCTCTCAGGCCCAGGACAGGGAAGGAAATGCCAAGCTTGGTCTTAGAACTCTGGTGAGCCAATGAAAGCCAACATCAAGCAAATTCCATTAGTTTCAGTACCCAGGTCAGTACACAGGAACAGAGTCTCTGGCCACCCACATCCACCTTCTACCCAGTGCCAACTACATTGGCCCCAGTTGAACAAATGTGTTATAGTCAGCATCAGTCATAACAGGTGTCTGGGCCATTGGTTCATTTTAGCAGCAGGTAGCCCATAGTATCTTAGTCATGCATCATTTCTGCATTGGATTCAATGGTTTGTGAATACCAGAAGAAACAAAACAGTGTATTGTTAATCACATGACTGTCCACCCCATCCTGCTCCCAACCCCAAGAAGTATGACATCAAGGGAACCATTGTCCTCCAGGAGAAGGAAATAGTTGCCAAGTTGTTGCTTTGGAGCTCAGGACTAGACTTTCCACAGTAAGGTAAAGTGCTAGGGAGACTCTTAGCACGTAACCACAGGCACCCAAGACTCCGACAGTTTATTATTGAGCTGCATTACCTTTTTCCAGCATTTTATCAGATCTTTCTGAATAGCGCATCCGCTGCAGAACTGAGGACAAAAATAGAATGTGTAGCTTCAGAGGTGAAATCGTGACTATACTCCAATTATACTGGCAGCAAATCTGAACCTAGAGTGTCATCTAGTGCTCAAACAGCAACGGTGACCAAAGGTCAGATACAACAGAAAACCCGTTTAGAACTTCTGGATTATGAAGACTGGGACATTTAATTATTGGTTCCTTTCACTCAAAGCTATTATTACTCCTTAATAGCTGTTTAAAACTTCCAGGATATTGGCCTCACCTAAGATAAGACACCAGAGAGACTGATCACATAGCAGCTAATATAGGCAAAGTCTTGTACGGAGACCTCCAAATAGATGTTTTCAGGAAACTCAATGAGGTTCAAGACAACTCCAAGAAAACAATTCAGTATTTTATCAGCAAAATGGAGTGGACAAACAAACCATATCTAAAGCAGAAATACTTGAGCTAAAAAAAAACTGTTTTCAGCTACGTGAAAAATGGGATGGAAGGCATCAAGGACAGAACAGACCCAACAATGGCAATCTGTTGGGAAATACACAGAGAAGAAAAAAGAGAAAAGAGTGAAAATGAAAGAAGGAAGCTCATATGGGCTTTGGGATAACTTCAAAACAACTAATCAGGTGATGCTGACACTACAGTGCTACAAATGTTACATCAGACAACTTCCCAAACCTAGAGGAGGCTACAGATATATTCCTATATAGGAAGATCAAAGTCAAGGTCACAAGTCAGATTCTACTCAATGGAGAACAAGCCAAGATACCTCACAATTAAGATGAAAGACTGGGAAAAAGTCCTCAGGTGAGCGGGAGAAAATACCCTATCCTTGTTATCGGAACTACCCTTCTCAATGACACTTGGAAGGCCAGGGACGAGTATGACTGTGTGTTTATAGTATGGTATAGTATAGTATAGTATAAACAGAACAAAACCTGGGCTGGTTAGGAATATCATGCTTGGAAATGCTTTCCTTTACAAATGAAGGCAAGATAAAATTCCTGAAGAATAGCTGAGACAAAGTATCGCTTTTAGACTTGTCTCATAACAAATGCTAAATGAGGTTCTTTAATTTGAAAGAAAAACCTGCCTATAAGAAGAAAACAACAAAAGGCAGGAAACCCATTGATAAGAGTAACTATGCAGAAAAAGTTTAAGTTTATTAATACTTTACATGTTGTTTCAACAATAAAAACTGAAAAAAAGCAATAATGAAATCAGTATATTAACACTCGGGTGATGCAAAACATGTAAAATTAGACACATAAGTTTGTATTGCTCCCGGGCATGAACTGCATGCGTAGATCTCTTTTTATCGTAGTCTTCTGTATTTCCTCTTTTGTTTCTCTTCCTGTCTTTACACTGTTAAGGAGCTAGCATTTCAAATTAGCTTCTTATAACTGAGTTTTTAAAATTCAGCTCCATTGTAGCGGTTATTGATAACAAAATGGCCACTACAGAGGGATTAAGACACATGTTGGTGGTGCCTGCCACTCAGTGAGCTGACCCAGGGTGGAGAGGAAAGATGGAAAATTCCAGCAGCTGCCAGAGTCATTTTGCTCCAGGGACATATTCCTCTTTCCATTGTGCAGAATCAGGTGCTTTTACTTCTATTTGATGAAGAAAAAAAATGAGTTTGAACTCAGAATCTTGCCGTTGGAAAATCGCTCCCTGACCAGCTTTGCCTTGCTGCTTGCTTTTGGATTCTTTTGAGCAATCTGAGGTTCTTTTGAATGATTTGGAGCAGTTGCCATTTCTTGACTGGCTTTGTCTTTCTGTGTTTTTCTGTTGAACAGTATCAGTTATTATTGTGGTGGAGTTGAGAGCTCTCCATTGCATTTGACACCTGACCATAACTCAAAGTCAAGGACTGCAGAGATAGGTAGAGAGACACAGCTCTACCATTCCTGCAAGCCAGAGGCTTAGGGAGACATGGTTAGATCTGTGTCTAGGGTTTGCATTTTCCCTGCTGCATCCTTGTGTATGGGGGCCTGTCAGCTCTAGGAGGGAACAAGACAAGACATAACTTTCCAGAGTGATAATCGTCTTAAAGTGTTAGGTCCATAATCTAACAAGAATGCCAATTGTAGGACAGGCCTTGTCAATTTGGAAGCTCTCCTGAGAAAATTTGGAGTTCGGTTGAATGATCTGGGGACATCTAGCATGTGACAGGAAAGGTCTGGGGCTTTCTTGAGCCACTGGGGCTGTAATGAACAATTTGGAATAGAGAAATCACAGTGTTGAGACCTATCACGATCTAGGTAACCATAAAAATATTGGGTTTACTAGGGAGAACTTATATAACTGACTAGTCTTCTATGAGCTTGTAGTGACTTCTAAGACAGTAACAGGGAAGAACCCAGTCTCTGACCCTGGAGCTAAGAAGTGAAAACTGCCTGTTCTAGAATTAATATGCCCTCCCAGTGAGAACTTCTACTATACACTTAGAGATTAATATAGGAAAAAAGTTCTTTCATACAGCATGTGTCCAGCTCCAGATACTGTTCACAGAGGAGACTGCTGGGAATAGAAGGTTTTACTTATTTATACTTTAGGCTCACTCATTCAACATATGCTGTTATCCTTAAATCTCTTTTAGCTCCTGTCCCCAGGTTATACTTTGAACAATTTAAAAAGAGACAGGAGTCTGGCTACTTGTGTAGATGTGAAATTTATTTAAGTACACAGTGTTGTTCTTTTCCAATCCTTGCCCAGGTTTATCTTGTCCACCTGGCACAGGGAACTTAAGGGCAGACCAGGACTTTCCCTGTGGCCCTGTGCTGCCACTCTGAGTTGCCCCTTAGGATAGGCCTAATTGCTGGTGGAAAGTCAGGGTCATCTACTTTGGTTGTGGTAATGGAGGACAAGCATTGTGAACCTAAGCACACTTGCACCCTAAATTTCTGCTTATCTTTAGTAGATTTGGTTAGTAGACGACTTATCTCTGGAGTATTCTGGAGGCAGTTTTCCTTTAGCTAAATTCTGTTTAGTGTGACTGGTAAGCAAATCTGTATGTTAAGCCTTTATAGCATCAATTTTAGGACTTAGCATTTCCTCTGTGTCAGGACCACTGAGTTTTGCATTCTCTTTTATAATTGTGCATTGTTGATCATGGTTGACATACTTTTAAAAAAGTGAGTGAGTGTGTGTGAACAAATGTGTTTGGGGTAATTTGAGACTTATAAGAGTCAGTGTTTGTATTTTTAAAGTTAAAAATCCAAGGATTCAGAAAAATAGGAAAAAGAAACTGGTTCTCTATTTATGGAAAGGTTTTCTAAAATTAATTGAAACATTAATTTTAAACTTATGCCTTAAAACAATTTGAGGGTGTGCTGGGTGAGGCCTTTAGTTCCAGCACTCTGTAGGCAAAGGCAGATGGATCTCTGAGTTCAAGGCCAGCCTGGTCTACAGAGTGAGTTCTAGGACAGTTAGGGCTACACAGAGAAACCCTGTCATGGAAACTCAGAAAACAAAACAAACAAACAAACAACAAATGAAATAAAGGAAAGAATAAGAAGATTTGAGGATGCTGCTTCCACATATCACTTATTGAAACTTAGGCTGAGGGGAAAAAATCTGGTTATAGAATTTAGAAGAGATAACTTAAAGATAGGTAAACATTTCTTATTAAGTGCTCAAAAATGTCTGAATTGCTTTTGCTAGACAAACGTAAAATTAAAAGATTAGCTTCATAGTTGACCTGTAAATAGAGATACATCTTTTGTCTTGGCACATTTAGAATGTAGACATATTGATAATACTGAGATAGTCTTTGCCTCTGGAATTAGTTGCTAAGAGATAATACACTGTGTTGTAAATAACATTTCACTATTTATATATGTCGTTAGGGCTCCATTTCCCTGGTTGCTAATATGGAAATTTGAAAACAGGAAGCCTGAGGGACATTATGAAAAGGTGTGTTGGAGGGGAACAGGCATATTTGGTGCTTGGAAGTCCTAGGACCTGCTGCTTCTACTGAGACAAATTGGGAGACAGCAGTTGGTAGAGGAGATGTATTTAAGCTTGGGCTTGGGAAGCTGGAGCAGAAACTATATACAGTCCCTATTGTCAAAGCGAGGAAATGGTTCTGGAAGTTTTTGTTGGGAAAATAGATGAAAAAACAATGCTTAGATGAGTTCTATGGCAAGAAGGTCCTTGAAGCACACTGACTTGCTCTGGTTCCAACAGAAGGATTTTTTCTAGCCTAGCATAATCTTGCATCTCTATTAACATACTAAAGGAGGGAAGTCTGGGAAAGCTAAGACACCAGGTGAGGAAAGTTTAATTTGCAAGTCAATAACAGTGAAAGCTGAGTCAATGGGTGAGTCTGGTGGGGCACTGCCTGCTTTGCATATCATTGCTCTTAGCTGAGGCAAGCCAAGGTTTAGGTAAGATGATTTTGAGGCAGAAAGAGAACACAGCTTATATAAATTGCCTTACAAAACCCTGTTTCTACAAATGCTTTGCTTCTGCTTCATGGTATCCAGTTTTGAAGACTTTTCATTAAAGCTAGTTAATATCTCAGTATTTTGACCTGTTGGCTGGTTTTAAAATGTGACTGTGTTTGTGTATCTTGAGCCCTCATCTCAATAATGTGTGATTTAGCAGACAACAGGATAGCTATTCAACCAATTTATAAGTTTTCATTTTTCTAAACTGTGTAAGTCTTCTCTGCTTTGAACTGTAGTTGTGTGGGTCTTAATGTATGATGGATACATCTGGGTAGTTTGTTTAAGAGTAATCTGTGAACAACTCTGAGATACCATCTTATTCCTGTCAGAATGGCTAAAATCAAAAACTCCAATGACAGTTTATGCTGGAGAGAATGTGGACAAAGGGGAACACTCCTCCACTGCTGGTGGGGGTGCCAACTCATACAGCCACTTTGGAAATCAGTATGGAGATTCCTCAGGAAAATGGGAATCAGTCTACCACAAGACCCAGCAATTCCACTCTTAGGCATATACCCAAAAGATACATATTCGGAGGCAACCTAGATGCCCCTCAACTGAAGAGTGGATAGAGAAAATGTGGTACATTTACACAATGGAGTACTATTCAGTTCAGCAGAAAAAAAACCAATGGAATCTTGAAATTTGCAGGCAAATGGATGGCACTCCCTGGTGGGGAGGGCAGGGGCAGAGGGGAGGGAGCTGGGATTGACATGTGAAACAAGCTTGTTTCTAACTTAAGTAAAAAAAAGGGGGGGGGAGAGAAAAGAATAATCTGTGCTTTGTATGGTGTCTGTTGGGGATGACATGAATGTGTTGCTTGTAAATAGATGCCTCCCATATTCTAAAAGAAACTGTTTTATTCTGTGTGAACTCCATACAAGACTTTATGTTTTATTAAAAAATGTATTTTATGTTTTCTGTTGCTTGTTTTTTAAACCATTGACTACTTAGGAGAGTTGCTTAGAGCCAAGCTCCATTAAAGGACCTGGTCACATCTTTCTTTAAATGACTACTTTGTAAGCAACGATTCTGAATTGATTTTAGTACTTTTAATGGCCACATTAGTGTTCATCCCAAAGATGGGAGAAGACCACTGACCAAAACCATCATGGCCAAATCAATAATTAAAGCAAACATCTTTGTACATGAACATGGGCTGCTTTCCACTAAGGTGAGGTGTAGGGAGAGATCTTACATACACATAGCACTGACCATATCCCACTTCTTACCCCAGACATTGCAGAAATATTAAGATACACAAAGTAGGGATGTCTTAGATTTTATTGAGGGAGAAGTCACTAACATGACAAGTCAAGAAAGCTGAGAACCAAAGGTCCTCTCGCTGCTCTC